TTGGGTTCTTAAAGACATATGCTGCCCTGACCCAACGCTTCTATTGGTCTAAGATGAAGGACGATATCCTGCATTACTTGGAGACCTGCGAGTTGTGCCAAAGGAATAAGGTCCACAGGCGGCCTCCTATGGGACTACTCAAACCTCTACCTATCCCTGATGGTCCAGGTGAGTCAGTGTCCATTGACTTCACAGACCTGGGCAAGACTACGCCACGTGGGATGAGACAGGTAATGGTTTGTGTGATCGATTCTCTAAGTATGCTGAGTTTATCCCCTTACCTGCTGAGGCCAGAGTACCTCTGGTCAAAGAGCTCTTTTGTGAGAGGTGGGTAAATGTTCATGGGTTCCCAACCTCCATTGTCAGCGACAGAGATCCCAGATTTTGCAGCGATGATTGGCAGCCCTTCTGTAAGGACTACCTACATTCTAGAATGGACATGACCTCTGGGAGACATCCGAAAGCCAATGGATAGGCTGAAGTGATGAACCAGGTCTTGTTTCAGTTGTTGCGCCCTGTGATCACGCCTGATCAGCAAGACTGGGACAGATATCTGTCACGGGCGCAACTAATGTATAATACATTTGTTCACAGCACTACAGGCTTTACACCCTACAGGCTACACTTTGCAAGAGACCCCAGGCAACCTCTGGATGATCTGATCGACAAGTCTAAGCCTAAACTAACTCCTGGCACTGCAGAGTTCACCAAGAGTTATGAGAAAGACCTAGAGAAAGCTAGAACTAACATGTTCAAGGCCCAGAAGAGGATGATCGAACAGGCTAATAAGCATCGCTCTCCCTCTACTATTCGGCCAGGTCACTGGGTCTGGGTGAAAAGATCTGAACTAACTGATGAGCAAGATATTTCAAGAAAGTTGTTGCCTGTCTACTATGGCCCATGGCAGGTACTTGATACGGTGGGGGCAGATCCATTTGGACCTTCCTATGTGCTTGTTGTACCGCCTCATATCAAGACCTATCCGGTCTTCCATGCCTCAAAACTGCTGCCTTTCACGTCTGCTGATGCATTTCCTGATAGGCCCCCGCCGTTTGGACCCCCAATCCCTGGAAAGGGATACGAAGTTGAGAGCATTGAAGATCAGTGGGGCACAGGCCTCAACTGTGAATACCTTGTGAAGTTCCTTTTCCAACCTCACACAGAGGACCGATGGTTCCCAAGGAAGGAACTTCTCAAGTCTGCAAATTCAGTTGTACACGCCTATGAGGCTGAACAGAAGAGGCAACCTCTCAGACGTTCTCCTCGTGGACACTCCTAGCTTGGGGTCCTCACTCCCCGGGAGGGTAGGAATGCAATGAATTGAAGTGTGATGCGGGCTGTACACTAATTTTGTTGCTGCCTGGTTTGTGCTTTCCGGGATTCGATCCCGTGACTGGTATTGTGTGTGTGTGTGTGTTTGCCTGTGTGTACACGAACTGTGTTTGTTGGTTCCTTGTTTTGGGCGTTGGAGGACTTGAACCCGCGACTTGTAGTGTGTTTGTGGTGTGTGACTGTTTTTGAGGTTTATTGGGCTTGAACCTTGAACCTGTCGCTACTAGTCTCTACTTCGTAGTCTTAGGCCACTCATCCTTGTCGTTTTGTCATTTTCTGCCCTTCTGGAAACTGGTAGGCCCGTAGGTATTTCTTTGTGTCCTAGCCTTGGGTTCCCTTAGTCTAGGATTCCATCTAGATGCATGTAGGTAGATCTTGACTGTTGGGCCGTAGATGTTTTCTGCTTGGACGGTCGGATAGGTCTGTAGGTGGTTACTGTGTTGTACGCCTAAGGAAGTCGAGTAGAAGTAGGCAGGGGCCGACGAATTTTGGGTTCTGCTTCGTCATTTTTTTTTGTCACGAAGTGCTGCTGGAGGTCGCGGCTGGAGCTGCGCTAATTCAAAGTGCTCGTTCGTCTTCCTCGTTGAAGGGAAGCTGACGGCCACAACTGGGCTTACCTGGCTGGTGCGGAATTGGCCCACGGACATCAGGCCCTGCTCTGCGTGGTGCTTCCTCCATAGCTGTCCTATTGGGGTTTCGACAGCTGCCATCGAAGCAGCTTCTCTATGCCTGCTTCGAAGTGGCAGATCTTCATCTTCATCGATTTGTTGTTCGTCTTCATCATCCTGGGAGTTGCGCTCCCCTGCTGAGTGGACACTTCATCTCCAGGGGGCTTCTTGAGTGGTGCAGAGGGGTGTTGGATTTAGGAGGGTGTGTGGCGATTGGCAGGCTTGATAGGTTGGGTGCCCGCAGACACCATAGCTAGAGCTTGAGGAAGAGGGAGGAAGTTTAAGACTCCCAAAGTATTCGATGGAATCTTGTAAATAATTGGTCCATGGGTGTTGATAACGTGGTTGGGATTCTTGGAATAAGTATTCTGGATTGATTGGAGGAGGATGAGGGATTGCAGAATTGAAATTCGTTTTTCAATTCTCTGTGTGTTTTGAGCTTCCGCTGTGCACATCTCCTCTCTGGTTTTGTGTGGATTTGCCTCCTTCGAGTCTACTCTGAAATTGCATGCGTGTATGGGAATGTGTGAATTCGTTGTGGATTGAAGTTCAATCGGGTATATAACACTACCATAGCCAGTTCTATTTGACGCTGCTGTGGGAGAACTAATCGAAATAGGAATAGATCATCTGCCCAGTTTGTGTAAATGCTGCTGATGCCATTTGAACGTTGGCCTGGGACACTTGCCAAATAATTATTTTTAATCATTTTTCAAATCGGCCAGACATGCTGTGGTAGGCCCCAGCGAGGGCGCTAGTGCAGACAGTGTTCTGCTTAGCTGATGAGCGGTACAAATAGTGGGGAAGCGACTGCTGACAATAGGATTAGGACACGCCGGGACACACAAAGGATTCCGGTCGTGTTCCAGATTCTGCTACCAGGGGACGAGAGACGGTTCCGGGCCGAAGCAAGGGCCCCCCGTTTGCAGACAGCTAGGGAGGCAGCAGCAGCAGCTGCAGAGCGTGTTTTAGTGGAAGCACCAGCTAGTGCTGAAGCTATGGCAACTTCTGCAGCGACCTCTCAAGGTCAGCAGACATCAGGAACCTTCGCTATGTCCTTTGTCTCATCCAGTGGGACTAGTGCAGGACCATTCACCAGGCAGATGGCAGGCTCGCAGTACAGCCAGCCACCCCCACCTACTAGGGAGGAGTTCGAACTCCAGCAAGTTAGAGAAGCAACTCAGGGATGCAACTGAAAGAAAAGATAAGATTAGACATCGTAAAACTAGACTGGAAAGCAGAGCGGCAGACAAAGCTGCACTAGAAGGGTTAGACGATTCAATCCTGGATGACGCAGGAAAGATCATCTGGGCGAATCTGCTGGGTCTCAATGAATAGTTTGACAGCCGATTGGATGAAATCCAGTCAACCTTTGACCAGATACTGATGGCCGTGCAGGGAAGGGGAGGACCACTGCCCTCCATACCTAGCGCGCCAAGTATCTGCAGCAAGCAGCTTTTCCATCGCCAGTTTCATTACCAGCGATGACAGGCCCCTTTGTTCCACAGTTTGGTATCTCACCAGGTGGTACGTCAGCAGCAGTAGCACAGACTGTTGCTTCTTCATTTTCAGGTCCAGCTGCCGCAGCTGCAGGGCAACAGCCGGTCCAGATACCGGTTCAGCAAGCCGGACAGTCTGGACCACAGCAACCTTGGTACCCAAAGACCCCAATGAAACCTCCGACTGTCTGCACAGGAGACAAGAAGGATGAGGCCCTCGACACTTGGTTGAGGACGGTTCCACTGTGGGTCAGGGCCAAGCGTACTCTGTGTGAGGAGGAGGTGATCACTGTCGCGTCCTACCTAGAAGGATCGACAACAAGATGGCTGAATGGGCATATAGCGACAAAGGGATTCACCGGACGAATGAACGACTGGGCCCAAAACCAAACTCTAGCTTTATGGACTTGGTGGAAGCGCGATGGCACAACCCTCAGCAGGCTCAGCAAGCTACTGATGCGTTGACCCGTCTTGGTACTAAGAAGTACAAGACTGTGCGTGATCTCACCAGTGTCGTAGAGAAACTGGTGGTTGTTCCGGGAGTTCGCTATGATCCCCAAGTCCTCCTAACCATGTTCTTCAGATGTCTTTCCACATACATTAAGAATCTGATGGTTAGTGAGGCCAACATCGAGTATCACACCCTTGAGACCTTTAGCAACAAGGCCTTAGACTTAAATGCAAAGTTGGGAGGGCCGCAGTAGATAGTTGTAGACGGGAGGAAGAAGAAGGTCCCACAAGAGTGGAAGAAAAAGGGAAATCGATTGATGATGGTTGATTCCGATGAGAATCAAACCGAGATCGATGACCTCTCTGATTTTTTGGAAGAGACATAGTTAGGCAGAGAGGATAGTGCAGAGGGTGGCAACCTCGTTGCAATTACAAAAGGAAAGGCTGCTGGTCATGGGAATGGTGGCCAGCAAAAGAGTCAGGGGCAGGTCTATAACTCAAACAAGACTCCGGCTTGGGTGAGGACTGACCTCAATCAAGATGTATGGAGGGATAAATATTCGCGAGGGGCTTGCATCAACGGTGGCGAGTACGCCCATCAACAGTTCAGATGCAAGAATGCGAAGGTCTCTCAGAAGGGTACCAAAGGTGGTTTGGGAGGGACTTCCGCCCAAGGAGGAGGTTCTACGAGCTCCACCTCGGGAAACACATCTAGTCAGTAGAAGTTGTAGCTTTTTCTACTCATGCTGAAGTGGTTGACGTACCCTCACCACTTCAGGAGTTGGCCGAAACTATTGACCCATTAGTCACCCTGCAGACACATCTAGACCAAACGACACTCTGTTTGTTGGATGTGTCTAAAGCCTTAGAAGACTTATAAACCGAGTGGTTGGCAAGGGACCCTTGTCAGTATTGGGTGGCTTTGTCAAGAGATCCTAGAGGGGAGCATTTCGTTATGGAAGTCAGTGTAGGTGGCCGCAAGTGTTGTGCCTTCATAGACATTGGCTCCACGCGGAACTTTATAAGTCGCGACTGCATTGAGAGACTGCGCCTAGGGGACCGGGTGCAAAGCTTGAGTAGACCTGTAGCATCTACACTTGCCAACAAAGAGCGCATGATGGTAAAGGACTAAGTTAAGGACGTGGTTTGCACCTTCTCTTATGGAGGTGGGGAACTTAATCATCAGATTTCGTTCGTAGTCAGCAACGATATGCCATTTGACATGTTGTTAGGTATGTACTACCTCGAGGTTGCCAAGCCCCAGTTTGAATGGGACCGGAAAGTTCTCAAGCATGTGTTGCCTGATGGGAGGACCGTTAGACTAAGGATAGCAGGTTAGTTGACTCCTACTGGTGGATGTGTCCCACTGCGTTCTATAATTTTTTTAAACAGAACCAAGAGGAGGGTATGCACTTAGTTTTTATCTCTGAGAAAGGGGAGGCCGTTAAATCACCCCCAGAGATAAAAGTTGTCGTTGCTAAGTACCCTGATTTGTTTGAGGAGCCTTCAGGAGTCGTAGACAACGAGGTTGTCCATGCCATAAAGGAACTCCCAAGTAGTAAAACACCAAAGGGGAGGATCTATAGGATGGCTCCAACCGAGTTGGACGGGCTTCGTCGGCAACTGAAAGAGCTCACAGAAAAGGGTTGGATTCAGCCTAGTACATCCCCCTTCGGCTCACCAGTGCTATTCGTTTTGAAGAAGGGGGGATCATTAAGGATGTGCATTGATTATAAAGGCCTCAATGCCATCACCGTTAAGAACGCAGAGCCTCTACCTCGCATTGACAACCTATTGGATAGGGTGCAGGGATGTAAGTACTTTACAAAGATAGACTTAAAGTTCGACTACCATCAGATTGCCATTAGACCAGAGGACCAGCACAAAACCGCATTTGAGACCAGGTACGGTCTTTACAAGTTTGTGGTGATGCCCTTTGGCCTTTGCAATGCGCCGAGAGCATTCCCACATGCCATTAACAGGGTGTTTCATGATTACTTGGACAAGTTTGTCGTCGTGTACCTCAACGATATTCTTATCTTCAGTAGAACAGTCGAGGAGCACGACCAGCATGTAGAAACTGCACTTTCACTCTTGCAACAACACAAGTATAAGATTAACTTAGAAAAATGGGAATTCGGTCGCATTAAAATTTTGTACTTGGGTTATGAGATATCCATGGAAGAGGCAAGGCCCGAAGATGCAAAGGTGGCTAGCATTCGTGATTGTCCACGACCTCGGTTTGTGATCGAGGTCAAATCTTTCTTCGGGGTGACCGACTACTATCGCAACTTTGTAAAGAACTATAGCACGGTGGCCGCCCCTTCGACTCATCTAGCACGCCTTGACACACCATGGGAATGGACAAACAAATGTGAGGCAGCCTTCAAAGGGTTGAATTATGCTATCACGCATCATGCAATTCTCATGGTCCCCGATTCGGAGAGGCCATTCGTCGTGGCCATTGACGCAAGCCAATACGACACAGGCACAGTGTTGGCTCGACAGGAAGGGAAGAAGTTAAGGCCGATCGAGTATATGAGTAAGAAGATGCCATTAAAGAAATTGACGAAGTCCACTGATGAGAGGGAACTCGATGCCCTTTACAAAGCCTTTGTCCACTGGAGGCATTATCTGCTTGGCAGGTTCTTCTCTTTGAGAACCAACCATCAGACACTCAAGTGGATCAAGACACAACTTGTTCTCTCTGATGCACTCAAACGCTGGATTGAAGTCATAGATCAATATGACTTCAAGTTGGACTATGTGAAGGGAGAGTGCAACAAGGTTGCTGATGCATTGTCACGTAGGGCAAACTACCTAGGTGCGCTAATTACTGAGTTTGGCCTATCTGACGAAGTAACTCCATCGATGGTGGATGCCTACAAGGAAGATCCCGTCATGATGGACACATACGCAAACTAGAGGCTCAAGATAAGGTCACATCAAATGAGTTTGTGACAGTGGATGGGTTACTCTTTCTTGAAAAGGCGGGGTTGAAGAGGTTATGTGTTCTGTCTAGTGAGATTTTGTGTAGTTTATTTTTAGGCGAATGTTATGATGCGACTGGTCATTTCGGCTACAAGAAGAATACTTTTAAATTAGTGCAGCATTTCTGGTGGCCTAGTATGCTTGACGATGCAAAGAAGTACGTTCAGACTTTTCAAGTCTGTCCGTGGGACAAGCCGCGAACTCGAGCTCCGCCTGGGTTACTCAAGCCCTTGCCCATTCCTACGGGTCCGGGACAAAGTGTCTCCATGGATTTCATGGACACTCTCGCAACCAGCAAGACTGGCAAGCGCATATCTTCGTTGTAGTGGACAAGTTCACTATGTACGCTAGACTAATTGCCATGCCAGAAACGGCCAAGACCGAACACATCATCAAGTTATTCATGGATAACTGGGTGCGCGACTTTAGAAGTTTGGACTACCTAAATACCATTGTTACGGATAGAGATGTCCGGTTCACAAGTGAGATGTGGAAGAAAGCCGCTGAACAGATGGGTAGTCAACTCCAAATGACTTCGGGAAATCATCCCGAAGCCAACGACCAAGGGGAAGAAATGAACCATGTGGTGAAGCACTTGCTGAGGCATTATATAAAGCCCAGCCAGGATGACTGGGATGAGAAACTGCCTCTCATTGCCAGCCTGTACTAACGTTGTACACAGCACCACCGACATCGGTCCTAATCAACTGCATTTGGGGTGGAAGCCTAGATCTGCATTAGACCTCCTCCTTCCTGAAAATTGACCAACTTCAACGCCTGGAACCACAAAGTTTGGTATCCAGTACGAGAAGTTGTTGCAGCAGGTTGTCGAACACATCAAGAAATCTCAAGAGGCAATGATTGCCTCTGAGAACAAACATAGATGACAGTCCACATTTCAGGTCGAGGAACGAGTCTTAGTAAAGGCTAGTGAACTGGGTTCGGAGTTCGGAATCTCTAGAAAGCTAATGCCACAATATTTCGGTCCTTGGGAAGTTCTAGACATCGTGGGTAGCGATTTGGATGGTCCCTCGTACGTCATAAGAATCCCTGGTCACCTTCGCACTTACCTTGTATTTCATGCTTCAAAGCTTGCACCTTTCGCTGAGACTGAAACATTTCCGTCAAGAAGATCTATGCTGCCCCCAACCATGGATGACCATGTGGACGTCAACGACATCATAGAACATAGAGACTTGCCTGTTCCCAAGCCTGTGGGCAGGGGAAGACCGCCCAAACCTACGAGGGAGTACCGAGTCAGATTCAGGCATCATACGGATCCAAAGGAAGATCGTTGGTTCACAAGAGAGGAGCTAGTCAGAACGGCACCTCAAATCGACGCTGCGAACGAAGGAAGACTGAAGGGTAAAGCACATGTGTAGAAGCATCTCAGCGGACTTTCGAAGCTAAGGGGGATGGAATGCGAGGTTTGAGCCCTAACGGGGCCCTTACAGACATGCAAGTGTTCTGGGCTGTGGCCCCCAGCAAGCATTGTGCCCGCCCTAAGTGAAGTCTCGCCTGAATATCCACGTGAGGCCTACTTTCAACATTTTCCATATGTGGGGTATCAGACAGTTGCAGCACACCAGTTGGTTACTGAGCAACGTGAGCCTTCAGAGGCTCTTTCCAGAAGCAAGAGCTGCGCTGTACAGTTGAGCCCAGGGCTCAGACGGTTGCGCCCTGCACACAGGCTGTGTGAGGCTGACACAGCACAGACTGGCTGCGGGCCAATGAGAATGCAGCATTGTCATCACACATCTACCACGAGCCAATGAGAATGAGGCAAACACTTGGAGTCTGGAGGGCTGCCTGGATGCGCCCAACTGTAAAGGGCCCAGGCCCGGAACAGCTAAGGTGGACCTGAGCGCAGACACTGGGGCCCGACAGGAAGGCTACTGGAAACTCGTCCAGCCACGCCCACGCAGCCAAACACAGGGCCGCACTTCCCATAAAGGAAAGTGCCCTGCCCAGGCAGTGACATTCAGGCCTGAGCAGGCAATGCAGCCAAGCTGCTGCGCTGTCTTGCGATGCTGTGCTAAGCAGCCAGGCCCGGGCGCACGCCGGCGCACAGAAGGGCGAGGGCGCTGTGGTGGCAGCGGGCGCACGGCGGCCATAGCTGGGCCGAGCATGCGGGTGCGGGTGATGGCAATGGTGGTCTTCGGGTAGGAGGCGCATGCAGAGGGTTGTCGAGGTGTGATGAGGAGAGGAGAGAGAACGTACCTGGTGTATGCTGGTGGTCGGCATTGGTGATGACATCACGTACATTGGTCTTCAACTTCAATGTGATCCAGTCGCATGAACGTAGATAGGATAGATAGGCTGAGTAGTGTACGGTGGCGCTGGGCGCCAGACAGTAGGAGCAACATTGGATACTATGTTGGTGTGACCAGAGAGTGTCGGCATTGACACTTAAGTTCATTGTATTGCTCTTATTTGGATAGTATCTTGGTGCATTGTGCTCTCTGCTTGGTACATGACTATCTGGACTACTTCGTGATTTTGCAACTTGGATTTCTGTCTATCGCTCTCGTGCAAGGAATATGAGTGTGAGCGATATTCATAAAACCAAGTTGCGAAATCACACAGCTGAGCAAGTAGTAGTATCCCAAGTAGAGAGTACAAATGCACCGAGAAAACCATCCATAAAGACCAATACAATGAAGTATTGAGCCAATGTCCAAGCCCGTAGGCCACACCAACACAGTATCCAGAGTCGCTCTCTCTGTCTGGCGCATAGCGCCCAGCCTACTCTACCATACTATCCTACTCTACAGCTGGTTCACACAACAGGATCACTTCGGCTCACGAAGACCAATGTACATGATTGTCAACCCCATCGGCGACCTCTCTTCATGTACCAGGTACGTAACTCGTCACCCTCAATCAGACCTTGATTATCCCACACAGCGCCTCACTCCCTGAAGACCACCTGATCATCCGCTGTACCCCCTGGCGCCCAGCAGCCAGGCTATGGCTGCCTGCACCTCGCTGCCCTGCAGCGCCCCACTTCACCTCTCGTGCCCTGTCAGCGCCCTTGGCAGCAGCACAGCATCAAGCGAGAGCGCAGCAGCACTTCCGCATTGCCAGCGCTGGCCAGAATGCCTGGCCTCGGCTGCCTCACTTCCTTTATGGAAGTGGCAGCCTGCTGCATGCTGCGTGTGGCCTGGCTGGAAGCTTCCAGTAGCTGCAGGTTGGGCCTCAGACCCTGTGCCCAGGCCGAGACTTACAGTTGAGGGCCTGGGCCCTTTACAGTTGGGCGCGGCCTGAGTCTCCGGACTTGGGCTGTTAGCTGCATCTGCGCAGGGCCCCCAGGTAGGTGCGTCGGCTGTACTGCTTTTCCAAAGGCCGACGACCTGCTCCTCAATGTATCGGCCCTGCTTTGTGTGTAGGTGCCCAGGCACAACTTTTGTGGCCTGGGCCAACTGTACGGCGCAGCTTAGTGAGGCTCGCGCGTTCACTCAACCAACTGACGCGCTGCAAGAGCCTGAMTACCCACATATGGAAATGTCGAAYTTGGCCTGTGACGAATATTCAGGCCCGCCTTCACTTAGGGCGGGCACTTGGCTTGCTGGGGTCTTGGCCCAGAACAATGTGATGTCTGATAGGGCCACTTGAGGGCTTGTTCCTCACACTCGCTCATATTCCTTGCAAATGGAAAATAAAATATAAGATAATATCGTCATAGAGAACTACCTGGTGAACCATAAGGCATAGAGGGAAAAGTGGACATCACGAGGGGCTGTGGCAGACTTTCGTCAGAGTTCCACCAACTTTGTCTTTTCATTTTATTTTTTTCCCACTGACTTTGTGAGGAGGCTGAGAATTCTTGTACATATGGGCGGGAAAGTGTTGGCCTCTTCTTACCTCTAGGCCTACCGGCCCTTTGTACACTACAGACACTCTACATGCATCTGGACGCTTCTTGGGCCGTGTGCATGCATGTAGAGTGTTCTGCAGTCAAGGGAGGCCCCCATTCCCTCCCCTGCCTTTGCCCTACCCCTGCACTTGCCCTACCTCCCTCCCATTCGACAATCGGTGCTCCCCGTCCGCACACCGTCGTCGTGGAACGTCCGCTGTGTGCTGCCCGGTCGCCATCCCCTTCAGGCTGTGGCTGAGCTTGCGAAGTCTGCCCGCCATCTCCTCCAGCCCGTGTGCACTGGTAAGTTCTGTGTTCGTTCTTCTGAGAGAGAGAGAGAGAGAGAGAGAGAGAGAGAGAGAGAGAGAGAGAGAGAGAGAGAGAGAGAGAGAGAGAGAGAGAGAGAGAG